TATCAAATGGAAGGAAAGAGTGTCCTCAAATAGGCAATCTGTAAATGATTTTTTTGAACCTCCCTGTTAAAGCTAACAAAAATCTTTAATATTCAATCTAATAACTGTTTACCTATATTTTCAGTATTAAAATAAAAAAAATTTTGATATCAATCGTATTATCATGGAAACGATTTAATTTTTCATAAACTGTATTCGCAGAAAATTAACAGATGTTATTATCAAAACTGTTTGATCAAAATAATTTGTAATTATTTATGAATGTGGTCAACTATGGTACTAAGTACTGTTCATAAATAAACTAAATGTTTATATCCCCATAATTAAATAAGTATTATACGAAGTAGAATACTTTCTAAAGTAAACTAACCGATTATACCTACAGAATATATTTATTAAAAAAAGTCATTTTTCAAAAATTTGTGAATTATCACATTTTATAAATAATCGATTCAATTATAAATGATATCAATTATTGTCCCAACTATGCCACGTCCATATACAGTGCCATGACCTCACTGTGATATGATTTTGTTTTTAAATTACTATTTTTATTTTAAAATACATTACAACGGTTTGCTAAAGTAGTGAGGCCATCAATTTTCATAAAAGTTACATGGATCCGACTTATGTTGAATATAAAATGAAACTCATTTTGACTATTTTGCATCCCCTAAGAAAAACGACTTAGAATTTTTGAACTAGCTTAAATTGTCTTTATAATCTGCCGATAAACGGGATTTACGGTTGACGCTCTTGTAAAGTTGAAGTGTACCATGTTCAAACGTAGCCCCCTTTAATAAGACTTGCATTTTTATATTATTTTTTTGAGTTGGAAAAAAATTCAAAATTTATTTATTTTTACCTCGGTATGAATTAAATAAATTCTCAATCATTATCAAAGGCAATCACTGTAATTTCTCATTTGGGAGAAAGAATTTCTTATTCGTATTAAAATTATTTTACTGAGAGGTTTATTTTATTTTATTTTTAAATGTCTGTCTATCATTTTTCTCAGCTATTACTTAACTATTTTTTTCAATGTACGTAAAACGAACACGGATTATAATTTATAAGTATTAATGGTATTGTGTAAACATTATAACTTCGTTTTACGATACTATTGATTCAATTGAATCAAAAGTAAGCTATTAATAATTTACGTAGAAAAAATTTGTATTTAATTTAAAATTGTATTCTGTGTTTTTCTTTTTCAAATCGCTTAATGCAAAAAGGGCCTTGAATTTTAATTTTAAACTTTAGAAAAAATAATAAAAACTATTGATAAGTTTCAAAATGTATAAACATATAAAGATTTTTTCAAAAATAATAGGTCTAAAACATTGAAATTACATTTTTTAAACAATATTATCATTTCCATAAATATAGTTTAGTCATAAATTACTATTTATGTATAAAATTACTATTTTGTGTATTTGATTTTTTTTTAATATTTTAGTTATGGCATTAATATAGTAAAAACAAAAAATATTACCATGATTTTTTTTTTATTAACTTTAAAAATATAAAATATATATATATATATTAGGGTGTCCCTTATTTTGAAAATTTTGGAAATTCTTCGGGCTCACCCCCCAAATTTATGTGTATACATATAAAAAGTGGCTACAAAAAATTCCAGGCCGATCAGATAAGTTTGACCCGTGCCGACTTGGGGTTGAAAATCGGGCAAAAGGGGTACTTTTTTAGTTTTTAGCAATTAACTCGTAAATTAGCACTCTTACAAAAAAAAATATTAAAACTAAATTGTAGATCTAATTGTTTTGTATAAATTAAATCCTTACAGTTTTTCTTTTAAGTCCATTAGTTTTCTAGAAAAATGTCAAAATATATAATATTTCGTAAAATTGCCGAAATTAGCATATTTACGAATATTTTATCATATATGACGAACCATATGTGATACGACCTAATGTTTCATACAAAAATTGTTTAAAATTAAATTTTACGAAATAAAAGTATTAAGTACAAATTTCATTGAACCGATCGTTTTATTGCTATAGCTGAATTAACTCGATCATATTACGATTTTTACTAAATATATGAATTTTATTGCTTAATTTAAATATATTTCCTTTATATTGTAAAGTGATGTATTTGTTTGACTTAAACTCATAATGATACTTACTTCTCAATATTATTGTATAAATTAAAAAAAAGTTACTATATAAAATACAAAATGTTAAATTCAAAATAATTCACAAATTATAACAAAAATATACATTAAAAACTATGTTTTAATGTTTTTTTGTTGCAATTAGGATATAATATTCTATGCTCTTGAACACACAGTGTAAAAGTAACTCAGCTTTTTCATCGTTTACAGTTAAACTTTCATGAAAATCTTCCATTACCTTAACCGCTTTATCTGCAGAGTCATTTACTACTTTAAGTGAACATACAATTTCTTTTTCGTGTAAATAAAAATTATCAGTATTCCAATTACTTGGATCCAAATTTAAAAAATTAGTATTGATATCGAATCGTTTGAAAAATTTCATACTGCTTTTTGACAAAAAAGAAGCTACAGTTTTTTCTAAAAAAAAATATCAATCACTCAATAGTCATCAAAAAATAATGATATCAAAAATTATTATACCTGAAAATGATTTGTCAATATGACTCGATGAAAGAATAAAACGTTTACTAGGGTTTATTATTGACTCATTATTAAGGGATACAACCATTAATTTTTTTATTTCGGTTGAAATGGAATCGTCCATTTCCCAGAAAATATTACACTCGCGAATAGTCAATACTGCTTTTGCTCTTATAGTAAGATTAACAATTCTTAGGTTATAAAAAAAAACTTTTAGAACTTGTCCAATGGATGGAAGTTTTGAACCTAAAATTTGAGTAGTCAAAGACCCTATTAAAAATATTTTATTGTCATTTCTTAATACTACGGACATTTTTACGTACACTAAAAGAAAAACACAATAGGAAGCAGTTCAACTTAATACGCGATGTGAGCGACTAAAGTGGTATAAGTATAAGTTCACTATATCTATTGCTGCGATTTGTAATAAATTTACGATTTCCAGAGTTATTTATAATTTAAAAATAATAACAATACATTAATTCAGTCATACCATAGTATTATCGCCGTACTTGTACGATAAGTGTTGTAATGAACCAGATGATAACTAACAGAATCTAGCATTAAAATTCATATATTTAGTAAAAATCGTAATATGATCGAGTTAATTCAGCTATAGCAATAAAACGATCGGTTCAATGAAATTTGTACTTAATACTTTTATTTCGTAAAATTTAATTTTAAACAATTTTTGTATGAAACATTAGGTCGTATCACATATGGTTCGTCATATATGATAAAATATTCGTAAATATGCTAATTTCGGCAATTTTACGAAATATTATATATTTTGACATTTTTCTAGAAAACTAATGGATTTAAAAGAAAAACTGTAAGGACTTAATTTATACAAAACAATTAGATCTACAATTTAGTTTTAATATTTTTTTTTGTGAGAGTGCTAATTTACGAGTTAATTGCTAAAAACTAAAAAAGTACCCCTTTTGCCCGATTTTCAACCCCAAGTCGGCACGGGTTAAACTTATCTGATCGGCCTGGAATTTTTTGTAGCCACTTTTTATATATATACACATAAATTTGGGGGGTGAGCCCGAAGAATTTCCAAAATTTTCAAAATAAGGTACACCCTAGTATTCATATATAATAATTATAAATCGGGGTAAAATTAAGGGAATAAGTGTTATTGTTGTTTTTGAAATAATCTACCAATTTCATTTTTTTCTATTTAATAATATCTATTTCAAACTTGCAAGTTGAGTTAAAAGTTATGGTAATAAATTCATTTTTTTTTTATTAAAACTTTCACTTTAAAGAACAAAAAGAAGTAGGTTCAAAATGATTACTTTTAACATATTAAAAGTCGATAATAATTTGAAAATAATTAATTATAAAAATTATATAATATATAATTAAAATAATTACTAATCTGGATATAATTAAGGAAATAGGAGTTGATGTTGGGTTGGGTTGGTTACATTTTTAACTTTATAATGCTATAACTTATTGAAAATTTTATGAATCAACACGACTTTTTTATGAGAAATAATATTTTTTAATAATTCCTTTTTCATTCGACATACTTTATCTTAATCAGGGTATTAATAAGGAACTAGCAGATCATGTAACTTTTGTAATTATCCATCAATTTCTCAGAATTAAACACTATATACAGATTTGCATCGAAGCGTTTCTTACGATAGTGATTTTAATCGCTGTCAGATTAAATCTATACTAGACCCAACTATGCAACGTCCCCACTATTCCGCAATCCCACTGTGCTGGGTTTTTTTACGTTAAATTTTTTTGTTACAAAGAAGTATTTGAATACATTTTTGTCCGAATAATAATTTTTTAATGTTAATCTAGTAACATCGTTATGTAGGACGGATTAGAGAATACTATTTTCATTAGCACTAATATTTTTATAATAATGAGTATTTAAATCGTTTCTTGTCTAACATCAATTGTTTAATTGTTGCAGACCTAAATATACTAATACCTTAAATAAATCAAAATATGTTTTATTTGATGTCACCATTGGTAGACACGCTACTTTACTAGGGAAAATTATTAAAAGCAAAAAAAAAAGTACACATAAATATTGAAAATATTCACGCAATTAAAAGATGTTTGTTTAATGAGATAATTAAGGGCACCTAATTAAAGTTTGAAAATTAATTTAATAATGGACAAAGCAAAAACCACGTTGAAAATTAAAGAACAAGAGAGAAAAAATAATTACTATGACAAAAGAAAAATTTTAACTTACAATTTTTAAAGAAAACACGTGAAGTGTCTTCTGCACCAAAATAAGTCCGTATACTCCAGAATATTACATTCATCTATATCAAAGAATATGCTTGTAAATATAAAATTCACGATTTGTCACGTTACACTTTACATAGAAAAATGTATAAATTTAGACATAAAAAAATTAATTATAAGGACGATTTATTTAAAATATAATTAAAAATACCAACATAAACGAATATAAAATAATAATATATTATTGAAAATTGAATACTAATTAGGACAGCCATTTTCGATAGCAAAGTTAATTATATCAGTACGACCGTTTTGCATAGCTTCATAAACGGTATTTCTACTCCATGGGCAATTATTTTCATGAGCATATTTTAAACAATGAAATTGACTATTATGAGCGGCCAGTCTAGTTGTGCTTTCATCCCATTTACATCCATTTTCGTGAGCATATTTTAAACAATCTAAATTACCATGAGCGGCAGCTGAAGCTATTGTACCTTCGTCCCATTCACAACCGTTTTCATGAACAAATATCAAACATTCAATACAACCGCTCGCGGCGGCTTCCCTCGTGGTGCCTTCATCCCATTTGCAACCATTATTAAGAGCATATTTAAGGCAGTCTAAATGTCTATTAGAAGCGGCCCCTCTCGTCGTACTTTCTACCCAATCGCATCCGTGTTCATAGGCATATTTTAGGCAATCTAAATTACCGTGCAAGGCTGCCGCAACTATTGTTTCTTCGTCCCATTCGCAGCCATTTTCATGGGCATATTTTAAACATTGTAAATGACCGTTAGCAGCAAATGATATTGTCGTTTTTTTGTCCCATTTATATCCATTTTCACTGGCATATTTTAATATTTCTAAATAACCTTTTATAGCTGCAACTCTAATTGTTTTAACATCCCATGGAATACCAATTTCGTGGACAAATTTTAAAATGTTTAAATCACCTTGAGAAGCGGCTACTTCTGTTATTTTTTCATGCCATTCGCATCCATTTTCATGCGCATATTTTAAGCATTTTAAATGACCATGTTTTGCAGCTTTTTCTGTTACCCGTGCATCCCAAGGACATCCGTTTTCACGGGCGTATTTTAAACAGTCTAAATTACCGTATTCCGCAGCTTTTTCTGTTACACTTTCGTCCCATTGGCATCCATTTTTATGAGCATATATTAAGCAATCCAAATGACCGCCTATTGCGGCTACTCTAGACGTTCCTTCAGCCCATTCGCATTCGTTTTCATGAGCAAATATCAAACATTCAATACAACCGCTCGCAGCGGCTTCCCTTGTCGTACCTTCATCCCATTCGCAACCGTTATTATACGCATATTTTAGACAGTCTATATGCCCATTCGAAGCGGCACCTCTAATCACACCTTCAACCCAATCGCATCCGTGTTCATAGGCATATTTTAAGCAATCAAAATTACCGTGAGTGGCAGCTATAACCAATGTTCCTACATACCATTCGCAACTGTTTTCATGGGCGTATATTAAACATTCTACATTCCCAGTGAGGGCAATAAATCTTGTTGTGTTTTTATCCCATTTACATCCGTTTTCATAAGCGTATTTTAATAATTCTAGATTACCTTTATAAGCAACCGCTTCCATTATGTTTTTATCCCATGGACATGCATTTACGTGGGCGTATATTAAGCAATCTAAATTGCCAAATACACTAGCCATAAATGTTGTACTTTCAGCCCAATTACATCCATTTTCATGGGCGTATTTTAAACATTCCAAACTGCCTTTCCGTGCAGCTGCTGCTGTTGTTGATGGGTCCCATTTACAGTTATTTTCATGCGCGTACTTTAAGCAGTCTAAATATCCGCCTTCTGCTGCAAATCTTGTTGTTTCTTCAGCCCATTCACAACCATTTTCATATGCATATTTTAAACAATCTAAATGTCCATTGCTAGCAGCAGACATCGTGGTCATATGATCCCATTTACATCCGCTTTCATGAACATATTTTAAGTTTTCTAAATTACCATGTTTTGCAGCCGATTTTGATGTGCTCGCATCCCATGGACATCCATTTTTATGAGCATATTTTAAGCAGTCCATATGTCCACCTTCTGCAGCAACACTAGTTGTTTCCTCATCCCATTCGCAATCATTTTCATGAGCATATTTTAAACATTTTAAGTGTCCATTAGCAGCAGCAGCCTTTGTGGTTTTTTTATCCCATTTACAGCCATTTTCATGAGCGTACTTTAAACATTTTAAGTGTCCATTAGCAGCAGCAGCTTTTGTGGTTTTTTGATCCCATTTACAGCCATTTTCGCGAGCATATTTTAAGCAATTTAAATGTCCATTAGCAGCAGCGGCCTTTGTGGTTTTTTGATCCCATGTACATCCCTTTTCATAAACGTATTTTAAATTTTCTAAATTACCATGCTTTGCAGTCGCTTCTGATGTGCTCGCATCCCATGGACATCCATTTTCATGGGCGTATTTTAAGCAATCCAAATGTCCATTTGCAGCAGCTTCCCTTGTTGTTTTTACGTCCCATCTACAGCCATTTTCATGGGCGTATTTTAAACATTCTAAATGTCCATTTGCAGCAGCTTCCCTTGTTGTTTTTACGTCCCATCTACAGCCATTTTCATGGGCGTATTTTAAGCAATCCAAATGTCCATTTGCAGCAGCTTCCTTTGTTGTTTTTACGTCCCATCTACAGCCATTTTCATGGGCATATTTTAAACATTCTAAATGTCCATTTGCAGCAGCTTCCCTTGTTGTATTTACGTCCCATTTACAGCCCTTTTCGTGAGCATATTTTAAACATTTTAAATGTCCATTAGCAGCAGCATCCTTTGTGGTTTTTCTATCCCATTTACAACCATTTTCATGAGCATATGATAAGCATTCCAAATGTCCATTAGCAGCAGCTTCCTTTGTTGTATTATCATCCCATTCACATCCACTCTCGTAAACTCGTTTTAATGTTTCTATGTCACCAATTTTAGCAGCTTTACTAGTCGTACCCTTTTCAAATGAACATATGTTTGTGTTCTCCAAAGTTCTATTTACAATTCCTAATTAAGCATCATTATTAATTAAATTTTGACGTATTAAAATTTTATTTTGCTTACTGAAAAAATATCTTATTAATAGACTACTGATCAATTATTTATTTTATTTATCAACGGACGTAACTCCAATTTATTACAAATTATAATATAATAATTGATTTAACTATTATTTTAGATAATTTTAACTTAAACTACTTGTAAGCTAACTTTACAAGGACCTCGAGGCAAAGCAGAGCTCCATGGATTTAGTACTTTATCCAGTATTTAAGAGTTCATTTTAAAACAAATTCACATTTGATATATTAACTGGATCAAATTTTTTAAATAAAGTTTATACATAATATTAAATAATTAATTATTAATGTTCCAACAAAAGAAAAAAAACAGAAGAAAATAAGAGTGTAACGTGGGAATGACAGATCCATCGCATGGGTCTGGCTAAAATATACATGTGACCAATGTCAATGGGTGGTCCTCCACATTTATGTAGAGGACCCATTGAGATGTTCACCATGTCCACCCTGACCACACTCGAAGATCTGTCAGCTCACGGAAGGTGAAGAAAGAAAAATTAAAGAAACAGAAAGAATTTACCTTATAACATAATTTCAGACCATAGTTACAACCCATATAGTCATTAACTAAAATAGAAGAAGATGACGGAATAGTCAACTAGCTAATAAAACAATGAAGTCATTTACATGTGCAAGACAAAATATAACAAATAAAAAAGGAACAAATATATCATATTATAATAATTTGTTGTTGAAATGTCCAAGAAGCTGTAGTGGTATTGATGCCATTATGATAGCCAAATTGATAAACTTATATTACTCCATAACTCCTCCATAACGAATTCGTAACAAACATCAAAAAATTGATGAGATGACGATGAAAAACAGTAATGATTATTGAGAGATTCTTTTCAAACATAACCGTAGTTTCCCAAGCCGGCTCAATAACACCCGGGAAAGGGTAGGTGCCAGTGTGACCATTATAATGTGATATAATATGGTATGGACGAGGATCACGGGTGGTAGGGAAAATTATTTTTCTAGTTATTAATCATGTGTGTATATGCAACACTGACCCTACAGATGTACAACGCGCACTGTTTGAATATGGTTACCAGTGACCTTTTACTCATGATAATTTTATTACGTTACATACTATTAATTCTAATGATACAACATTTATGTTAATTTTTGATTAGATAAAAGCATTATTGACAGAAATTAGAACACCCCCAACTGTTTTTAAGGAATTTGAGGTGATGGATCTATTATATCTAAAAATAGAATAATTAAACAAACCAAGTTCAGATGAGTTATAATTTTCATTTAACCATGTTTCCGAGAAAACAAAAGCAGATAAATTAGATACAGGGATATTAGTATTAAAAGATTAATTTGGGTATTTAAACCCCTAACATTTTGATAATTACAATCAAATTGGACAGGGGGATTGATTATACGTCTTTTGAATTAAAAATTGATGGTGTACGTTTAACATATTTAATTATTAAGTTCGATTCACTATTATCTCTATTATGTTGGAGATCATTGGGAAGTTGAAACATAAAATTTCGTTATCTTGTATTGGTCAGTTTTGTCAAGATTGATGAGACTTGAGTTTATTTTAAGAAGCAAAAATAAAAAAGAGAACTTTTTGATCGGGGAGGCATACTTTTACTTGTCAAGAATTAACTGAAGTAAGTGGACGAGAACCTAAGCGAATAATAGAAGTTCGAATAGCATGTATGTTAAGAAACTGAAGCACATTATTTACTTGAGACAAATCATAAATTTGAATTAATAGAAATAGATGTGGATTTGAGAAGATTAAATAACAAAACATTTTTCTGACAATGTTATCAGTCTAGCATTTCATATAACAATGAATTAGTAGAGGATACATTAAATGAATTAATCTTAATAATATTATGTTCAATAGCTGAAATTCGAATTTTAAATGAAATTATTATGATATTATCCGTAATAAGAGTATTAAATTTGGTTAAAAAACTTTTTATCTTAGAGTTAAGGGTATATAGTTTTTCAGACTGAGTTAATCAAAGTGACCAACTTATTTTAAGACATTTAAATTTTATTGATATATTTTAACAATCTATCAAATTTCGTTTCAAATTTTAAAATATGAATAAAAAAGCTCCTTAAAATTGATGAGATATAAATGAGAAACACCAACGTAGATTGCGAAGTTATCATTTAGGTAAATAAAAAAATTTAAAGAATAATCTTCAATATGATATAATTTTAAATAGTTCTCCATCGAATATTTCATAGTAATAGAATTATATTAAAAAATATTAGTATATTTATGATTCCTACAAATAAGTAGTGCTTTCCGAATAAAATTTTATGCTAATTTGTATTATAATAGAACTTTCTTATAAAAAATTATTTGAAAACATTTTTGTTCGAATAATAATATTTTAATGTTAATTGAGTAACAACATTTTTTAGGACAGCTTAATGAATAATAAAGACATCAGCATTAATACTATAATAAAATAATGTGTATTTAAATGAATACTTGTCATACACCAATTATTAAACTATAAGTACGATTGTATCAATAATGCATAAATTATAAAGTAAATAAACAGATAATAAAAGATTTAATCAGAAAATAACCGGTCTAAGCTGTCTATATGAATTGACGTAAACACTATACAATACTAAGTATTATACACACTAATGATTATAATTGAATAATAGAATTTTCAATAACATTTTTTTTTTCCATTATTCTACGCCTAATATCAAAAGATGTTTTTAAATTATTAAAAAGTACATAAAATAATGTATAAAGTAATATTATAATAGAACTTTGTGATAATAAATTGGTTTTTAAGAAAATCCTACTTTTTTTATTATTATTAAACGTCGAACATCAAAAAAAGTTGTACAATTTAATATAAAAATATTATCAAATGAATATGATAAACGAGAAAAAATAAAAGAAAACATATCTATGACATGAATAGAGGACATAAAGGTAATGCCACCTATTTTGGTACCTTGATAAATACTACAATTATTTATGACAAAATCGTCAAATCTAATGTTATTTGAAATTCCAATTGTTTTTTTAAATGTATGGAAGTTTCCATACATTGAAACATACTTATTAATAGGTTAACATAATAAAATTATATTTAGAAATTCCAGATGTTCAATATCACTATAATCGATAACTTATTGGGTATAAATAATATAAAATCTAAATTACCTTCATTAAATTTCAAACAAGAAGTTGTCATCAAAAAAAATACTAATTGCCAATGCTAGAAATTATAAATTTTTAATTTTCAATCGAGTAATTCATTAAAAGTGTATTACTCACCTTCATTTTTACTCTTCTTGTTTTACTTATGTTAAAAGTGTTTTTATTCTAAATAACAAATAACAATTTTTTAATGAAATAGTTGAATATATATAAAAATCTCAGTCATCATATATTAGTTTTTTATTTTAGAAATATAATTTAAGTAAATAATAATGTAGATATACTTAATTATACTCAACTATTTTAGTGAATCTATTCATTTACATGTAAAAAAATCTGGCTAAATCGAAATTGAATTTAGTAAAATGTGTTAAAGTATTAATACAAATACAATTATATATTTGTGTGTGTATGTATATATACAGGTTGTTCAAAAAGTATGGAAACACCGATTTTTTAGAGCAGCTATTAGTTTGTTTAATAATTTTTTGTCTAAATGTCAATTGAATAATTGAATGCATCTTCTACGATTAAAATTGAAGTTCAACCCTAATTTGGTAGAAATTTACCCTGATTTAAGAGATCTAAATGACAACCATTACTTTTTTTTGAATTTCTGGTTAGGTAATTTTATTTAAAACCAAGGTTTTTTTAAATTTTAAATATGGACAAATCATTTTTGAGAGTGTTTAAAAACATCAGTTTTAAGCTTAGAAGTACTCGCGCTACAATAAAAACTAATCAATATATGAATCCGTAGATACAACAATTATAAATTGTCTGATTATTGTTTCTTTGATTAAGATAATCATTAAGATAATGATTGTCTCTGAGCATAAATATAATCAATAAATATTGGTAAATCGATATTGCACCATATTAATGGAATAATTAAATATCATAAAAAATATGATTTACTATTGCACTTTCTTCACGTTTATAAAAATAGATTGTTTTTTGAAAACATGCGTGTTATCAAATTAAATATTTTACTCAATTGTAACCAATTAAATGATATTATTAGTTTAAATGGTTTTAACGCGTCTTTATCAATGTCAATTTAACTATCAATAAATATAATTTCTGTATTGCCGGTTTGTGTGTTTATAAACTCACAACAATGTGTCTTATTACCATTGATAATAAAGGCTATATACTTGCTAATATCGTCATAAAAAACCAATTAGCTACTTGTATTTGTAATCCCTTATGTATTATACATGAATATTAACTCAAAAATTTGAATCTTTAAAAGTTTATATCTAATAATAAACAATAAAAATTTGTTTATATATATACAAGGTGATTTTTTTATCATAACCCACTCAATTACTTGCAGAATAAATATAATTTAAGCATTTTTTTGATGGGTTATCTTTAGTTACACATTATACTTGAATTATTAACTATGTAATACTTTTTATATTCATCCCTTATGCCTTGTAAGAGTGTCAACTTTGTTTTCTTAAATGGGAACACATATTTCGAATTTAATAATAGTTTGGATTTTTAATTCAATAGTAAATGACATTTGAATTTTTAATATAACTTTATTAGTTTATTAGATATAAACATTTAAAGTTTCAAATTTTTAAGTTAATATACATGTATAATACACAATCTACTATTAAATTAAAAACTCAAACATTTTATTAAATTCAAAATATGTGTTCCCATTTAAAAAAACAAAGTTGACACCCTTACAAGGCATAAGGGATGAACTTAAAAAGTATTACATAGTTAATAATTCAAGTATAATATGTAACTAAAGATAACCCCCCAAAAAAATGCTTAAATTATATTTATTCTGTAAGTAAATGAGTGGGTTATGATAAAAAATCATTCAGTATATAATATTGATGATACACACGCATGTACGGGTACGAAAACAAAAAATTATACAGGAAAATATTGTTGTCGGCGAATTGAAATCGGGGTGGGGTAAATGCGTTACGACCGTCTAGTCTCAAGGCCATAGACGACGGGATACGCGACATAATAACGAGTGTAGAGTTACAAACAAACATACATGTGAAACTAGTATAAGCGTGTTAAATATCGGTCCTTTTTTTTACAATTCCTTAAAAAGTTCTTCGGTGTGGTCCTGGTTTTTAAAAAAATTCATTGATCCAAACCAGGTTCTCTAAATAAATTCAAGGGTCCGGTCTCGGTCTGTCTTCAAATTTAGATAATGGTCCATTTTTAAAGGCTGTATAGTATTGTAAATATATTTATATTATGAATTATTGTATAAAAATGTATATTGTTGCTTTGTTGCATTGTGTATTATTGGTTTTTAGTAGAAATTCGCACAAAATATAATAAAAAAAAATCATCATTTTTATCGTAATAGGTTTAAATTGTTTTCATTATAGTGAACAATTTTAACACTCACTAAAAATTATTACAATAAATGTCACATAAAAGCTGAATTGTTTGAAATAATGACCCACGTGTTAGTAGAATTTCCAGGAATCCTGAAATGTGATTTAAAATCATAGTGAATAATGTATTGCTTTCTTTCTACTGCCAATCGTTAAGTGTATTATATTACTTCATAGTTTTTCTACACATTTTGGAATAAATTGATCGTTTTTATCGACTATAATTATGTCTAGACATATAAAGACTATTACAGCCCATCTAATATACAATATTATTTTAATTCAGTTAAGACTTAAAACTGTGATTTTAAAGAATTACCCTTGTGTTAATAACAATATTACATTTATGAGTCTTTGTACATTATATTGGATAAAATAAAGTTTGAAAAATATTAACCAACATAATCATCTAGCATAATCATCAACGATAGACGATAGTTTTCAATCTGCCTTATTATTCTTATAAAATAAATATTTTTAATTATTTAAAAAAGAAATAGTATAATAATAAATATAGTTTAAAAAAACTAAAAAAAAACACGCTTTNATATCTCTTAATGAGAATAAAGCGTATTAATATATAAGTTTTAATAGTAATTAGAATATATATATATACATGTAAAGGGACTTAAGTACGTAAACGTATCATGCATGAGGTATAGCCGTGTTTTGTGGGCGGGTGGAACATTATACACGAGGCATATACGGCGGCAGAGGCGTCGGCTGTAGGAATATATAAATGAATATTAACATATACTTATATACGTATAAATATTAATATATATATATATATTAATATATATATATATATATTAATATTAGCGGTGGCGGTAGGAATATATGATCTTCACATAATATCGCGGCACTTTTGCTGGCGTCGACGACGCGATGTCCGACGTGATCCTCAGGCGTCAAAAGTTTAGCAGCGTAGATGACAACAGTGCGCGAGTGCGGATCGGTTTGTTGACGTTATCACGTCGACAACGAGAAGAAGACTACGGAATCATTAACGGCGGGACGTCGTCGGCCGTGCGGCACTTGCTGGACTTAGCACCGCGGCGTAAAACGACGCGGGGCCGTGTCAATATCAATAAAAATTTGTTATACATATATATAATTGATGACACGCGCGCGTCTACGGAATGGAAAATATTGTTGTCTACGAGTGGTGAGCGGGGTGGGGTGAATGCGTTACGACCGTCTAGTCTCGTGCGCGTGGAAAGTTACAAACATCCCACAACTCACAACCCACATACAAGTGAAACTAATATAAGCGTGTTAAAAATAAGCACATATGCTTTTTAGCAAATATAGAAAATTATTTTGTTTTATACAACTTTATATTGATAGGTGATTATATTTTTTTCTTATAAAATTAAACATTACTCATAAAAAATGTAATATTATGCTAATAAAAATTATTAACAGTAATAATTTCAAAGCTATTTTGTGAGGCTTAGTTAAGAAATCCCTATGTATGTATAAACAAAATATGTTAAATTTTGTACAATACGAATTTAAAATTATTAGTCTACCCAAGGATATTTTCAAGTTATTAAATTTTGTTTATAGCCTATATAAGGTAATTAATTTATCATAAACCTTAATTACATATAATATAAAAATAATTATAGTTAAAAAAAAAAATTTTAAACTTATTTTTTTTTTTAGAATCATGAATAATTTTCAACAAATTGGCGAGTTCTTGAACTCAACTTTAATGAACTCAATTGATGATAACTTTTCCTATAATTGTATTATTCCTTCTAACTCAAACTAGAATATAACTCAATCAACAATAAATTTAGAAAAAAATCCAGCATTTAATATGCTCTAAAAATACTGTAAAAAAAATTACTGAGTGATCCTGATGATTATACTTTGTTTCCTCGTGAGGGAAAAAATAGTGTATGGAAAAAATTTAAAAGTGTTATGAGTGTGACTTCCAATTATACTGACCCTGATAGTCTCAAAAATGTGTTAACAGAATTTGTAGCTTGTATTCACTGCAAAGAAGTTTATGGTATAAAAACGGGACTTGCTACTCATGTAAGGCACAAATGTAATAAGGTAATAAGTTAATAAAAATCTATTAATGAGTTTTCCGTGTCGACAAATAAATTCAAAAAAATTATACCAAAACGAAAGATGAAACTATTGAAAAATGCGTTAAATATTGATGCTTATATATAAGACCTATGTCTACTAGAAAAGGTGAAGGTTTTTTACAATTTAGCCCGTTTTAATTAGATGTTAGTACAAAATTTGGTAAAACTGATATTAAAGATTTGTTACCCCACCATACAACCATATCTCGGCACACTAAAGATTACCAAAGAAATAAGACAAAATTTATTCAAAGACTTATTTCAAATTTTAATCAATAAATATTGAACATCAACTTGCAACATGTGGACAGATACTTAACGTAAAAATAACTATATTTCAGTTACTTTACACTATGTAGACGATAATTGGGAATTCATTTTTAAAGGCTATAGGTTTAATAGAAAAAAAAATATCATTTTTATCCTATTTTTTTTGTCCTTTATAGATGATTTTTGTAAAAGTTTATTTAAAAAAAAGACCCAGCACAGTGGAGACGTGCCATAGTTGGGTCCAGTATAGATTTAAACTGACAGTGATTAAAGTCACTATCATTAGAAACGTTTCAATGCAAATCTATAGATAGTGTATAATTTTAAGAAATTGGTTAATAATTACGAAAGGAAAATGAACTCCTATTTTTTTATTTATAACATGAATTTATTACCATAACTTATAGCTCAACTTACAAGTTTA